CTTTCGGCGGGTGTGGGAAGCGTCCTCCTGTATTTTTCTGTTATTTTTGTTTTGTTTGATTTTGATCGGTGTCCGAGGGCTCTTTTCTCGAACGGTCGGTGCGATATCTGTTATTTTCTTTCTATCATTTTGTTTTCTTTTTCCGAGTGGTTTGTACCCTATTTTTGTTTTTTTTTGTTTTCTCGCGGCGTCGTATGTGCCGGGTTTTGAGACCACGGGCTCCCCATTTTTTGTGGACTATAGAGCTAATGTGAAAAACAACAACAACAACAGACGCAGGTACGCGACGGTCACGGGACTGTCAGGCGGCGGGACTGTTGGAAAAATATGGAGGCATTTTTCAACCAGTGCTTTTTGGTTTTTGGGCATTTTCTCAACACCACGTGCAGGTGTCGCACGAGACGCAAGCGAGAGACGCGAGGAGTTCCTGGATCGTATTTCGTACAGATTACAGGGGGCGTGGAACCTTGTAGTGAACTGTACACTTTTCGTACCCCCATATATTTGGTCGTGTAGTATAAAAGAGGCAGTTTGGAGGGGGTGTTCGAACCATGCAAGTAACCATGCACTTTTTTAGCACAGTTCGTCCTATAGGGTTTGAACCGTGCCGGAACCGTGCTTTAGTATTTTCAAGTAGTCTGGCACAGTTCGAGCACGGTTGGCGGTGTCGCAAAAACAGTTATTCATGTGGTATTTAAGGGTACGTGCGTAGGACGAGTTGGATGGGGATTACATTTGAGAGAATCAGCAAGGAATCTTTTGCGTTGCACAGAGACTTTGTGATGAATTTGCAGTGAAATAAGTGTTTTGGGATCAAATCGTGTTTTTCCGCGGAGTGGAAGGGAGAGGATATGTACGGGCTTGAACAAGAGATGGAGAGAGTCAAGTGGAGATGGTAGTGTTTTGGAGAGTTAGTGTTTGGGACTTTTCTTGGTGATTTGGAAGAGTTGGTATGCGATTGATTATTTTCGGACGTATTGTTTTGGTGTTGGGATTCTGAATTTTGTCTTGGTTTTGATTGTGTTTTGGGATGAACTGGTATGAAAAGGATGACTTTGATATTTTGCCGGAGCATGACGATGCATACGAGCAGGGGGGCTATTCAATATACTCGTAGCATAGCATGGGGGTGGTATATTGCGTATACATATGCGGGATTTGCAGTGACGAACTACGGAGGGACAAGAAGTTTCTTTATGTTTTCCTTGGAAGTGTGGTAGATTGGTGGAGATTCATGAGGATTCGTATTGGGGGTTTGAGCGTTATGCGTGACTTGATGCCGTGATGGAATGACGAGCTCAAGCACGCCCCCAATGAACACAACACGTATACAACACGTTTTTTCACACGTCTGCACGACGTTACCTACCCCTACGGCCCGTAATGGCCGAGCTGCTCTTCACTCCCATCACACACAACTGAGCCACCCGAATAATCGATCACAATCTACATCCAGCAGGACAATAAGCCGTCCCACTGCATCAACGCCGATCCGGACGTCGTGGCCGCTGGCACTGCCGACGGCTGGGACATCAGGCTCATCAACCAGCCATCCAACATTCCACACACCAACATCCTGGACCTGGGATTCTTCAACGCAATTCAATCTCTCCAAGACCGCACTACTCCGAGGACGGTTGACGAGTTCATCATCGAGGTGAAGAGGGCCTTCGAGGAACAGAGCCCTTCTACCCTTGACAAGGTCTGGGAATCCCTCCAGGCAATTCTGCAGGAGATCATTCTCGCGAAAGGCGACAACACCATCAAACTCCCGCATCTGAAGAAGGACAAGGCGGCGAACTCGGGGAGATCCATTCCGAAGGAGTTGCCGCTGAGCGCCGAGGCATCGACGGTGGTTCGGGCTGCACGTGCGGCGACTGCGGGCGGGGTTCAGCTTGAGAAGGGACAGAGGGGGGGGGGTGACGTTGCCGTTGACCTACTGCGGTACTGCTGCATCTTGGCCGTTGACCTACTGCGGTACTGCTGCATCTTGGGTATTAGGAGCTTTTCAGGGGCATTTTGTGGTGTGGGTTCATCTGATTACCAGTGCTTGATGTTTCCGTGGTTGTTGCGAAGATGGACTGCGTACTGAACGAATTGATGTGGTGCGTGGTTGTCTTGCTGCTGTAGGAACATGGAGTTCCTCTTGTGCTATGAGTGTTGTTGCGCTGGGATTTCTTGTTCGCATTGGTGGTCTCCGTGACTGTCGTTGGGACACTGCTTGCCGGTCTTGCGCTCAACGACCAGGGACCAGGAAGCGTAGTGTCGTGCCACAGCAGTTGATGAATGAGTGAATGAGTAAATAAATGAAAATGCATGATGAACATCTGCACCAGTGTCACCAACCAAAAGAATGAAAACCCCACGGCGTGATAATGTTCGTCTCAGCTTCTCCTCCGAACATCCCTCCGGCAATCGAGGCCGCTAATCCGGCACCCATATGGGCTAGTGTCCGGCGTGCAAGCGTCGTCGATACCCTGTGCCAGGTCATGTGAAAACTGGGTAAAATGTGATTTTCCTGACAATTTTGTGCAAACCGGGGATGGCAACGAAACGTCCCCGCCTGACCCGGGGAAAATTTCACCCCCCTTCCGGTAAGTGAATTGATGCTATTGAAGCCATGTGGGATACCCCAGAAACAGCCTGTAGGGCCACGAACAGCTGTTTTGTACATTTCCCACCTATATTCCCGTCACTTCAAATCCCAGCTATATTTCCGGACAGAGTGGTACTCATGATCGCGCACGCGACGCTCACCGTGCAAGCGGACGTTTTCGCTNCATGTGAAAACTGGGTAAAATGTGATTTTCCTGACAATTTTGTGCAAACCGGGGATGGCAACGAAACGTCCCCGCCTGACCCGGGGAAAATTTCACCCCCCTTCCGGTAAGTGAATTGATGCTATTGAAGCCATGTGGGATACCCCAGAAACAGCCTGTAGGGCCACGAACAGCTGTTTTGTACATTTCCCACCTATATTCCCGTCACTTCAAATCCCAGCTATATTTCCGGACAGAGTGGTACTCATGATCGCGCACGCGACGCTCACCGTGCAAGCGGACGTTTTCGCTCCTTGCTTGGCAGCCCGTTGAGGAGCCAGATGCGTTGGTCTGGACTTGCCGGCTTGGCGAGTGTGTGTGATAGATCTTCGCGGGCGAGGAAGAGCTCGAACAGCGACTTGAACAGTGGGAAGTTGCCGTCGTACACCGGTGGCTTCCGGTCCTTCCGCACGTAATCGCGGTCACGCTGCCGCTGCTCCCGATCATCGAAAAGACTAGCCGTCCCCCCGGCTCCAAAAGCAGCCGCCTCTCCGGCAGCTCCATCCCTGCTATGGCACCCAGGCGCATAGCCAGCGCCGCTTGTCTTCATGTTACCTGCCGTATGTCCGGCATCACCCACTCTTCCGCTTCATCTATTCTCCTCTGCATTTCCGCCATCTTGGCTGCCGCTTCCTCGGCTGCTCTCTCGGCATTCCTCGCTCGTTTTTCTAACTCTCTTTCTCTTTCCGTCATCGCCGAACCAACACATGGCCTAGCTAGGCTCCAAACTACGATGTCGTGTTAGTGTGCACTGCCGCCCTAAGCGGTCTGTGGTGTTGAGACTGGGTACTATGCTGTCCCAGGAACAGCAGATGAAGAAAAGGACCATGTATTATATATATCCGTCACGCAAGCCCCTCAGGCAAGTGCCGGGAGCACACCGCCGTGTGCTCACCCGGGGGGACCGCACTTGGACCCCAACCGCATACATACTCATCACACCCATACTCCCATACGCGTATCCCCCACAGAGGATGCACGCATCGGACTCATATCCAAGTACCACAAACATCTACAACGGATATGGTGATTGTGTGTTGTGGCTTCTCAATAGTTTTTTTTTCCTCTTTTTCCTCCTTCCTGTGTGCAATCAAGTCCTTTTCCCCGGCTATCACGCTACCACGGCTACCACGCCAGGACTTCCACGCCAATCCTGGCTATCACGCCACCCGGCTATCACGCCTTCCGGACATCCACGTCCTTGCTTAATCTATACCTTTACACCACGACTATCACATCACCAGGCTTCCACGCCACATCCAGAGATACCAAGTGCTGCCTTCCAGTGCACCAACTTGGGAGACGCGCAATACCGCGCTACTGCTCGTACTGCATTCGCGATGTCCGGCCTGGTTTGAGTGGCCAACCACATCAGGGATCCTACCAACTCGCGAAACGGGACATCAGCACACGCTTCGTTCTCGTCAAAGTCGGTGAGCTTCACGCTCACAGGCAAGGGCACACTCTTCCCCCACTCAACGCCGTACTCTGCAGCCAACTCTTCTGCAAACCTTTGCTGCGAGATCCTCAAAAGGCCTCTCTCTAGATCTCTCCGGTCAAAGCACGCAGAGTACCACCTCAACTCCACAAGGTTTTTCACGGGGACCATCTCGTTGAGGTCACTGCCAAACTTGTCACACCTCTCCTTCTGCCCTACGGCAAAAATGTCATCCACGTGGACCACAATGATCATGATCACACATCCATCCTCCATCAATCGAAAAACACATGCATCCGCCAAACATTGCACAAATCCTAAAAGTAACGAACACCTCGTCAGGTGCGCATGCCATTGTCGTTTGAAAGAATATAACGTGCCCCCCTGCTCCGAGGATCCGCCCCCCTGCTTTGTGAAGGGGTCGGAGTCAAGCCGAAAAACAGTACGAGATGTGCCGAAAATCAAAACAGTACTTCTGATCCTCTCATCCACACTTCAATCAGATCTGAAAAACCAAACCCAAGCTTCAATCAAACAAAACAAACGCCAAATCTCAAACTAAATCACACTCAATATGAACCTCAATGCGCCTACTTTTCCAGCCATAAACCCCAGCGCATTGGACCACTGCCCCTGCCATCGTTTCTCCCCCGCTGATTTTCGCTCGCCTCCGCCGCGGTCGCCTTCTGTGCTCTTCGTCCGGCTGGCCGCGGCTGGAGCATCGTCAGTAAATCGTCCGCCTTCGTTGCGGGAGACCACAATTGTCGCTCCAGATGGATCGACTCGGCAGCGGTGGAGGGCAGGTCGCGCGTTCGGAAGGGAAGATGGTGGCACAATCAGTTCCTTATAAAACAGCACTCCTGAGGAGAATCGCATTCCACAACACTCCCCACGGTTCTGCACAGGTGACTGCTGCTGTACCAAAACAACATAAAATACAGTTGGACATCCAAAATTTTTCTTCTGCTCACGCCGTGTAACTTCAGTTCGTGTTCTTCCACTGAAATGGTCTTGAGTGATTTCTTCGGAGGAACGCATTTGGTGGATCTTGCTCCGCGTCATGCTGAGTACTGGCTCTTACTACTGTCCTCTACATCTAGTCGGGAATTTAGTTTCTGGGTCAACCTCGCTTCTTGGCTGAGTGATGCCTCTGACTATTTTTCTCTGCGATCTAGTCGGAAAACGCCAGTCTTGGGTTACGTCTCGCTTTTCGCCGAGGTCCTGCCACGCATATTGCTGTTCTCTCCAGAGAAATTCTACCCAACATCTCCTACAAACTTGCCATAAAATCTCACGTGCTTGCGTTAAGAATTCTGACTGTCCTTCAAATGCGTAATGATGTCCAAGCTTTGCTATTGTGTAAAACCCCTCATACTCTTTTCGTTGCACGATTGGCAACTATACTTAACATCCCCTCATTCGCGCTGGTGGTGGCTTGACGGCCCCTCACACGTTCAGTTATCTCGTTCGTGACAACCGTACCCTCTCTTTCATCCCAACATCACACGGTCGCCCCGGTGGTCTAGTGGGTAGCCTCGCAGCCTGCTAAGGGCCAGGTCATGGGTTCGAGTCCCGGCAGAGAGAGTTTTTTTCTCACTAAATAAATCCTGGTCTAGGATGAAAGCGACGCGCTGCAAAGCTCGTTTGTTAGTAAAATCCATAATCGACTTCGTAAGTCGCGAGGGAAGGGATTGCTGTACCCTTCCCGTGATAAAAATACCTCAGGGATGAACCGCAAGAGGGGGTCCAACCCCCCCCTCCTTTGTGACCCCGGTTGGGTCGTCTAGCTAGTAGAAGTGGAGGATAGGGGCCAGAGGGGCAGACGGCAGAGTCCAATGATGGGAGAAAAACAAAAACAAAAAAACATTTGACAGAATTCCGAACACAGGAAACGGTTCAGACACAAGACTAAAAATCTTTCGGAACACAAAACAAGGCCATATTCGTCTTCGGACAGAGGACATGATCATTTCATCACGTGCCTGAGCGGGTCTGGGACCCTAGTAGCAGAAGTGGTGCTGCTGTAATGCGCTGAGCCGCCCCTCGGGGGCTCGCGAGATGGTCAGGGGGATGTCGTCCGTGGGCGTCGTCGATGGTTCTAGGCGCGCTCCCTGCTGCTGGCCTACCTCGTACTCTTCTTCGCTCTCTCGCATGACTTTTATCTAACCCTCTCCTGCTTTCACCTCCCAGCTGACGTCCGGACTCCTGTTGACTTCTTCTGCTTCAACCCGCGCGCTCTTGTCGACGCTGCGGGAGCTGTCTTGTTCTTCGATCTTGGCGTCCTCCGCTGCTTGGCGGGCTTCATCTTCGGGCCTCCGCTGCTTGGCGGGCTTCATAAGAGCAGCTCGGCCATTACGGGCCGTAGGGGTAGGTAACGTCGTGCAGACGTGTGGAAAAACGTGTTATATACGTGTTGTGTTCATCGGGGGCGTGCTTGAGCTCGTCATTCCATCACGGCATCAAGTCACGCATAACGCTCAAACCCCCAATACGAATCCTCATGAATCTCCACCAATCTACCACACTCCCAAGGAAAACATAAAGAAACTTCTTGTCCCTCCGTAGTTCGTCACTGCAAATCCCGCATATGTATACGCAATATACCACCCCCATGCTATGCCACGAGTATATCGAATAGATTGTTCGTCCCCTTCCCCCGGGCCAGCGAGCCTTGATGGCGGGGATGACCTCATCCACCACCTTCTTCTTGAAAACCTCTTTCGTCACCTCCACACACTTGGTCTCCATCGTCCTAGCCGCCCTGTTCCTGTTGTTGCGCTGCGCGGCGCGCTGTACGGTGAACGGAAAGATACCGAGCTGCCTGTGAAATTGCAGCGCCGGCTGATGTCATTCCGCGGGTGAGCAACTGCTGCGAGGAACATCACTTTCGTGATGTGCGATTTGTGTTGGACTTTACGGGTCGGCAACTCCTCGTCCGTGTAGAGGTAATTCCTCTGCCCGTTGTGGCAGATGTAAAACCATTTCTCGTCGATGTGAACTGTTGGA